GCCCGGCCAATTTTTTTTCTTTTTAAATTCTTTTTCTTTTAGACAGGGTCTTGCTCTGTCACCCAGGCTGGAGTGCAGTGGCAGGCTCATAGCTCACTGAAGCCTCCAACTCCTGGACTCAAGTAATCCTCCTGCTTCAGCCTCGCAAGTAGCTGGGACTGCAGGCATGCACCACCCCACCCAGCTAATTTTTCTTATTTTTTGTAGAGATGTGGTCTTGCAACGGCCCAAGCTCATCTTAAACTCCTGACCTCAAGTGATCCTCCCACTTTGGCCTTCCAAAGTGTTGTGATTACAGGCATTAGCCATTGTGCCCAGCCAATACGTACAAATATTATAGAACAATTTAAAAAGACAAAAAATTACAGAGAATGAGATGTGTACTTTAGGAGCCAGTTGGGGAGGGGGAAGGGCATGGGGAGTGTGATAGGCTGAGGATGCCTCTCAAAGGCACATCTGTGTCCTAATCCCTGGAATCTGTTACTTTATTTGGAAAAAGGGTCTTTGCAGATGCAATTAAATTAAAGATCTTGAGATAGGGTAATTATTCTGGATTATCTGGTGGGCCCCAATGCAATCACATGTGCCGTGATAGGAAGGAGACAGAAAATTGACAGAAGAGATGTGACCAAAAGGCATGGATTGGAGTGTGCGGCCACAGCCAAGGAATGTCTACAACCATCAGAAGCTTCTGGAAGAAATAAGGAATGGGTTATATCCCCTTAGAGCCTCTGGAGGGAGCACAGCCTCGCTGAGAACTTGATTTTGGACTTCTAGGCTCCAAAACTTTAAGTGAATAAATTTTTGTTGTTTTCATCCCCCAAGTTTTTGGTTATTTGTTACAGCAGGCTAAAGAAAGGAACAGAGGGAAGATTTACTCACTTCAAGCTCTTTTTCCTCTGCTGTTTCCAGGAATAGATCCGGGCGGAAGGGTTTTATTCCATGGGAATTTTCAACTCTGAAAATCTTTTCTGATTGGATGAAAATAATTCAAATTACAAGGATGAATACAGCATGAAGAAATTTCAGCAGACTCTGAATTTGTTCACTGCACTCCCTTTACCCCCCACAAAGGCTCTTCAGCCCAGTGAGAGTGTTGTAAAGTCTAGGCCAGCACTCAGTAGATAGATGCTGAATGAATGAGGCACGGGGCAGAGTGATTTTGTCCCACCATAACCAGATGACCTTGAGGTTATGCTACTCACCCTTTAACTCAACTCAGACACCTCTTCCTTTAGTGGGCTTCCTCTGTCCATGCTTTGGCTCCAACCTCTCGACATCCCTTAGTCTCCCTACCCTCTCCCAAATAGTTAAGCTCCGGCACATAATAAATGCTCAGTAAGTGAGGTCTGTATGAATGGAATGAAGCATTTTTCCCTGAGAGGACATGTGACAAAAACCTGTAGATCTTCTCTTAGTAAGAACTAACTATGTATGTTATTCTGCTAGAGTGCTCTAGTTTAAGCGGTAAGCAGACACATTCCCTTATTGGAATCAGTAGGAAAGGGGGAAATTGTAGGGAAGATTGTTAATAATACTGACAATAGTGACACCTGGGAGCACTCATTGTCTTATGCTTTTCAGAGCCCTCTAATACTTAATCCTTCCAGTTCCCCTGTAAAATGGATAGTGCAGATGAGAAGTCATTATTTTTGCAGATGAGGGGATTGAGATATGGTCACAAACAAATTAGGGTCTCAGCGAGCCTGGAATGCAGGTTGGCCAGCTCCCAGGAGGCACAGATGAAGGGGTTCAGATTTACCATTCTTGTCCCGGCAGCTCAAAGTGTAGAAGGTTTCTTTCCGCAGGATGATCTCCTGAGCGATAATCCCGTAGCTGTACACGTCTCCTTTCTGAGAGACGTTGGCTTGGCGGAGGTGCTCCGGAGCTGTCCACAGGTCTGTGCATTCAGAAATGCAGATTGCAAAGTTGAGGGGAGCGAGTGGCCCATA